TATTGTCTGTGATGCAGGTATTGTCTGTGATGCAGGTATTGTCTGTGATGCAGGTATTGTCTGTGATGCAGGTATTGTCTTTGATGCAGGTATTGTCTGTGATGCAGGTATTGTCTTTGATGCGGGTAACGTCTGTGATGCAGGTATTGTCTGTGATGCAGGTATTGTCTGTGATGCAGGTATTGTCTGTGATGCAGGTATTGTCTGTGATGCAGGTATTGTCTGTGATGCAGGTATTGTCTGTGATGCAGGTATTGTCTGTGATGCAGGTATTGTCTGTGATGCAGGTATTGTCTGTGATGCAGGTATTGTCTGTGATGCAGGTATTGTCTGTGATGCAGGTATTGTCTGTGATGCAGGTATTGTCTTTGATGCAGGTATTGTCTGTGATGCAGGTATTGTCTGTGATGCAGGTATTGTCTTTGATGCAGGTATTGTCTGTGATGCAGGTATTGTCTTTGATGCGGGTAACGTCTGTGATGCAGGTATTGTATGCAAAAAACAATGGTGCATTCCTGTGAGATGTGCGAGTCTGTGGTGATCTATTAGAATCAGAGAGAGAGATAGAGAGGGAGGGAGGGAGGGATTGGGTTGTAGACAGAAGCAAGTAATAAACCAGTAACATGTTTTAACACTTAAGGTAACTAGTGACAGGTGTTGTTAGTGTTGTCTCACTAATGCACTGAGATGGTGTGGCAGGTGTTAGGAATGTTGTAGGTGAGTGTGGATGGGGCAACGTTCTACTTATACTCCACCACAGTCCTTCACAATTAGGGCTGCCACCTTCACAAGTATTGTCTTACGTGTATTTCCAAGCGCCCAAAATACCCCGGGTTGTTAATATTCTCACCTGAAGTTTGGCTGTGTATATTAGCCTATGTTAACATCAGATATAAACAATGCACTGCAGCAGGCCTACTGGCCCATGCCAGGCATGTTCAAGTGTACCCCTGTTAACACTTTTTGGGCCTAGTTTCTAGGCTTTTTGAGTGTTTAAATGCTCGTGTGGTACTCTACAGGATAGATATATGGTGCACAGTAAACTAGCCACAACGGTACTCTACAGGATAGATATGTGGTGCAAAGTAAACTAGCCACAACCATCCACAAGATAGATATTTGGTACACAGTAAACTAGCCACTACAACGGCAAAATCTAATCTGTCAGTCAAGAATACTTAATCTTCGAAATCTGGCTTAAGTTAGACTCTCAGCTTACGTAACTCATGTTGGTATTGTGTACCATTCATGTACAACTCTCAGTGGAACAAAACCACAGTGAATAGATTGGATAGAAGACATATCTTAGCATTTTAATGTGGTTTTTAGTTCCTGGGAAGTTAAATTTAGAAACAGTGATCTTACGTTTGTATTATGTTACAATGTTTACAGCCAGAAGTTTTAAGAGATGATTTAAATTACTTTAGAATTGTGTGTATAGAAGGGGTTTAGTGTTGTGGTGTGGCTTGATACCATGCTCATTCCCTCCTCATACCTCAGATGTATGTACAGCCTCTCCTCACTTAACGACAGAGTTCCATTCCTGAGACCACATTGTTAAACGAATTCGTCACTAAGTGAGGAGCATACTATAATAATATTGAGTTTGTGTCAGCCATCTTTGATATTGTTTTAATGTTACCTTTGCACCATTTATAATACTTTTGGTTTGTTTTTAAATGTTTATACAGTAGTGTACTGTATATTGAAATGAACAGAATAGAGGAAATCAGCTCTAATATATATTAGTATTTAGGTAGGAATACTGGTCAGAGAGCATGTCGTAAGTCTGAGGCATTGGTAAACAAGTACGTCTCTAAGTGAGGAGAGGCTATATTTGTGTTTATATACATGTACACTGTAGTGGAGGGAAGGCGGGGTAGGGGTCGGCCTAGGAAAGGTTGGAGGGAGGGGGCAAATTAGGTTTTGTGTGCAAGGGGCTTAGTCTTTCAGCAAGTGTGCGTGAGCATGTTAGATAGGAACAAATGGAGACAAATGGTTTTTAGGACTTGATGTACTGTTGGAGTGTGAGCAAGGAAACATTTATGAAGGGATTCAGGGAAACCAGCAGGCCGGACTTGAGTCCTGGAGATGGGAAGTACAGTGCCAGCACTCTGAAGGAGGGGTGTTAGTGTTGCAGTTTTATAACTGTAATGTAAGCATGCCTCTGGCAAGACAGTGATGGAGTGACTGATGATGAAAGTTTTTCTTTTTTTGGGCCACCCTGCCTTGGTGGGAGACAGCTGATGTGTTAATAAAATATAAATAAATACACTAACTTGTAAGAATCAACAGTTTAGTGGTACTAGTCTGTGCTACTGACTCTTACTAATACTGGTACTGACTGGTACTAGACTGTGCTGCTGACTCTTACTAATACTGGTACTGACTGGTACTAGACTGTGCTGCTGACTCTTACTAATGCTGGTACTGTCCTATAAGAGAAGGTAAATTAGGCTGTGATATTCTGGACCCGAGGATAATATTAGCGAGGATGTGTGTGTGTGTGTGTGTGTGTGTGTGTGTGTGGTGTTGTCTGTGTTTTGTGTGTGTGTGTGTGTGTGGTGTTGTCTGTGTTTTGTGTGTGTGTGTGTGTGTGGTGTTGTCTGTGTTTTGTGTGTGTGTGTGTGTGTGTGTGTGTGTGTGTGGTGTTGTCTGTGTTTTGTGTGTGTGTGTGTGTGTACTCACCTAGTTGAGGTTGCAGGGGTCAAGTCCAAGCTCCTGGCCCCGCCTCTTCACTGGTCGCTATTAGGTCACTCTCCCTGAACCGTGAGCTTTATCATACCTCTGCTTAAAGCTATGTATGGATCCTGCCTCCACTACATCGCTTCCCAAACTATTCCACTTCCTGACAACTCTATGGCTGAAGAAATACTTCCTGACATCCCTGTGATTCATCTGTGTCTTCAGCTTCCAACTGTGTCCCCTTGTTGCTGTGTCCCATCTCTGGAACATCCTGTCTTTGTCCACCTTGTCAATTCCTCTCAGTATTTTGTATGTCATTATCATGTCCCCCTATCTCTCCTGTGTGTGTGTGTGTGTGTGTGTGTGTGTGTTGTGTGTACTCACCTAGTTGTAGTTGCAGAGGTCGAGTCATAGCTCCTGGCAATGCCCCTTCACTGGCCACTACTGGGTCACTTTCCCTGCACCATGAGCTTTATCATACCTCTGCTTAAAGCTATGTATGGATCCTGCCTCCACTACATCGCTTCTCAAACTATTCCACTTCCTGACTACTCTGTGACTGAAGAAATACTTACCTAACATCCCTGTGATTCATTTGTGTCTTCAACTTCCAAATGTGTCCCCTTGTTACTGTGTCCCATCTGTGGAACATTCTGTCTCTGTCCACCTTGTCAGTTCCTCTCAGTATTTTACATGTCATTATCATGTCATCCCCCTCTCTCCCATCCTCCGGTGTCGTCAGGTTGAGTTCCCTTAACCTCTCCTCGTAGGACATACCTCTTAGCTCTGGGACTAGTCTTGTTGCAAACCTTTGCACTTTCTCTAGTTTCTTTACATGCTTGGCTAGGTGTGGGTTCCAAACTGGTGCTGCATACTCCAATATGGGCCTAACGTACACGGTGTACAGGGTCCTGAACGATTCCTTATTAAGATGTCGGAATGCTGTTCTGAGGTTTGCCAGGCGCCCATATGCTGTAGCAGTTAGTGTGTGTGTGTGTGTGTGTGTATGTGTGTCAAACAAGAACTGGAAAACATTGTGGTGTCCAGAAAGGAGGAGCTGTTACTGGTGCTGCTGTTGCTGGTAGTGCTGTTGCTGGTGTTAGTGGTGGTGCTGCTGCTGTTGGCAGTGGTGGGGCTGCTGTTGGTGGTGGTGCTGCTGTCGGTAGTGGTACTGCTGTTGTTGGTAGTGGTGCTGCTGTTGGTGGTGATTGGTGGTGCTGCTGCTGTTGGTGGTTGTGCTACTGCTGTTGCTGCTGCTGTTGGTGGTGGTACTGCTGCTGTTGGTGGTGGTATTGCTGTTGTTGATGGTGGTACTGATGCTGTTGGTGGTGGTACTACTGCTGTTGGTGGTGGTATTGCTGCTGTTGGTGGTGGTATTGCTGCTGTTGGTGGTGGTATTGCTGCTGTTGGTGGTGGTATTGCTGCTGTTGGTGGTGGTATTGCTGCTGTTGGTGGTGGTATTGCTGCTGTTGGTGGTGGTATTGCTGCTGTTGGTGGTGGTATTGCTGCTGTTGGTGGTAGTACTACTGCTGTTGGTGGTGGTATTGCTGCTGTTGGTGGTGGTATTGCTGCTGTTGGTGGTGGTATTGCTGCTGTTGGTGGTGGTATTGCTGCTGTTGGTGGTGGTATTGCTGCTGTTGGTGGTGGTATTGCTGCTGTTGGTGGTGGTATTGCTGCTGTTGGTGGTGGTATTGCTGCTGTTGGTGGTGGTATTGCTGCTGTTGGTGGTGGTATTGCTGCTGTTGGTGGTGGTATTGCTGCTGTTGGTGGTGGTATTGCTGCTGTTGGTGGTGGTATTGCTGCTGTTGGTGGTGGTATTGCTGCTGTTGGTGGTGGTATTGCTGATGTTGGTGGTGGTATTGCTGCTGTTGGTGGTGGTATTGCTGCTGTTGGTGGTGGTATTGCTGCTGTTGGTGGTGGTACTGCTGCTGTTGGTGGTGGTACTGCTGCTGTTGGTGGTGGTATTGCTGCTGTTGGTGGTGGTACTGCTGCTGTTGGTGGTGGTACTGCTGCTGTTGGTGGTGCTATTGCTGTTGTTGGTGGTGGTACTGCTGCTGTTGGTGGTGGTACTGCTGCTGTTGGTGGTGCTATTGCTGTTGTTGGTGCTGCTGTTCAATATCTTAGTGGGGAAAAACTAAACCCATACGAGTTACCACCTGGGCAGTGGGAATCAATCGTGGTTTATTGAAGGGATGACTATGTCTTCACGTCCTGCCTATTTTATCATTGATATCTATAATGTTATTGATGTTTATGTTAACAGTGATGTTTGTTATGACTAACGTTTATAACGTAGTATAATGTTTCTGTTACAGCTTGTCTAGCGACGAGGTCCTGGATACACGCAGCAGCGGAGAGTGTGTTGTAAGGGAGGGTCATCCCCAGGTCAAGGTAGGTCACACCTTTAACCTTTGATTTTTAAGGTCTAGCTACGTCTCTCTCTCTCTCTCTTTTTATTTTCACAAATGACATGGTTATACAGAGGAATATAATAGCTGGGTGTACATACCAAAAATCCCTTTGTATGCGGAGTATTTCTGACAGACTTAAAGATTAACTTAAGATTAGTCATTATACGAGTTATAGTGAGTACAGGAGAACTGTGTATCAGGTAATGCTACATGGTAATTATGGTAGAGATAGTAACCATGGTAGAGATAACCATTGTAGAGATAGTAACCATGGTAGTGATAGTAACCATGGTAGTGTAACCATGGTAGTGATAGTAACCATGGTAGTGTAACCATGGTAGTGATAGTAACCATGGTAGTGTAACCATGGTAGTGATAGTAACCATGGTAGTGATAGTAACCATGGTAGTGTAACCATGGTAGTGATAGTAACCATGGTAGTGTAACCATGGTAGTGATAGTAACCATGGTAGTGTAACCATGGTAGTGATAGTAACCATGGTAGTGATAGTAACCATGGTAGTGATAGTAACCATGGTAGTATAACCATGGTAGTGATAGTAACCATGGTAGTGATAGTAACCATGGTAGTGTAACCATGGTAGTGATAGTAACCATGGTAGTGATAGTAACCATGGTAGTGATAGTAACCATGGTAGTGTAACCATGGTAGTGATAGTAACCATGGTAGTGTAACCATGGTAGTGATAGTAACCATGGTAGTGATAGTAACCATGGTAGTGTAACCATGGTAGTGATAGTAACCATGGTAGTGATAGTAACCATGGTAGTGATAGTAACCATGGTAGTGATAGTAACCATGGTAGTGTAACCATGGTAGTGATAGTAACCATGGTAGTGATAGTAACCATGGTAGTGTAATCATGGTAGTGATAATCATTGTAGTGATGATAACCATGGTAGTGATAACCATGGTAGTGATGATAACCATGGTAGTGATGATAACCATGGTAGTGATGATAACCATGGTAGTGATAACCATGGTAGTGATGATAACCATGGTAGTGATAATCATGGTAGTGATAACCATGGTAGCAATAACCATGGTAGTGATAACCATTGTAGTGATGATAACCATGGTAGTGATAATAGCCATGGTAGTGATGATAACCATGGTAGAACACGTTACTCACCTATTTGTGGTTGCAGGGGTTGAGTTACATAGCTCCTGGCCCCACTTCACTGGTCGCTGATAGGTCCACTCTCCCTGCTCCAAGAGCCTTATCATACCTCATCTTAAAGCTGTGTATGGCTCCTGCCTCCACTACATCACTCTCCAGATTGTTCCACTTCCTGACAACTCTGTGACTGAAGAAATGCTTCCTAACATCCCTGTGACTCATCTGAGTCTTCAACTTCCAGTTGTGACCCCTTGTTGCTGTGTCACGTCTCTGGAACATCCTGTCTTTGTCCATTTTGTCAATTCCTCTCAGTTGCAGTTTAAAAACTGTAGTGTAAAGCACCCTTCTGGCAAGACAGTGATGGAGTGAATGATGGTGAAAGTTTTTCTTTTTCGGGCCACCCTGCCTTGGTGGGAATCGGCCAGTGTGATAATAAAAAATATAATAATAAATAATTTTATACGTTGTTATCATGTCCTGCTTCATATTTGCAAATATACAGGGTTTGAAATCAAATAAAAATGACAAAGTTAGTTATATCAGTGGGCTCCTAACAGAAGCGAATGCCATATTCGGAGCATTTGCAGAAACACGTACAAGGGATGTTTTGGACGGAGAGATGAAGATAGAAAACTACAATATGTATAGATGCGATAGAATCAATAGGTCACAGGGAGGAGTAGCAATCTATGTAAAGAATATACTTTCTGTTGCACAGAATTCTGCGAATGATGTAGTAGAAATTCTAGGCATTAAAGTTGAAAATAGGAATTTGGTAATTATCCTAGTATACAAACCACCATCAGCAACTGCTGAGGAATTCACAGATCAGTTAAGTAAGATAGATAGCTATCTGGATAGGCTAGAAAATCCTACACCAGATATTTTACTCCTTGGAGATTTTAATCTCCCTCATGTAAAATGGAAGCTGGCACAACGTAATGTTATACCAGAAATATCCCCGGGAAGCACAATGTAATGTTATACCAGAAATATCCCCGGGAAGCACAATGTAATGTTATACCAGAAATATCCCTGGGCAGCACCCTGGCTCAACACGTACATACCAGGGAAATAATGAAGCTTTGTGAAAAGTACTCTTTAAACCAACAGGTAATTGATCCCACTAGAAATGAAAATATCCTGTAATTTGATATTCACAAACAACGAGGAACTGATCAGAGACACGACAGTTTCCAAAACTATTTACTCTGATCGTAACATCATAGAGGTTCAAACTAGTGCGTATTAACTCAGGGGTAGGAAACTGCATCGCTAAAGTTAGAGACTGGATGTTCAGTAAGTTTAATTTTAACAACCATAGAACTAATTGGGAAAAAATAAACCAAGAGCTATCAGACATACCCTGGGAATCAGACATGAGCGACCTAAATTCCCACCAGTGCCTAGAGAAGCTGAATACTGAACCATACGAAATATGTATGAAACATGTACCATTGAGGAAACCCAGAGGAAGATCAGATATAGAGAGAGAGCGTAGGAGATGGTATAGAAGAAGAAAATGGATTACTGAACTGCTTAAAAACACAAATATGCTACAACAGAGGAAAGATAGACTTAGCAGAGAGATCACTGAATTAGAGCAAAAACTTAGGATGTCATACCTCACAGAAGAAGTACAGTGGACCCCCGGTTTACGATATTATTTCATTCCAGAAGTATGTTCAGGTGCCAGTACTGAACGAATTTGTTCCCATAAAGAACATTGTGAAGTAGATTAGTCCATTTCAGACCCCCAAACATACACGTACAAACGCACTTACATAAATACATTTACATAATTGGTCGCATTGGGAGCTGATCGTAAAGCAGGGGTCCACTGTACAAAGGGAACAAAATGTAACGAGTTTGTTTGGTATACTGAAAGCGGGTGGTCAATGATAAATGTCTTCGGAGGCTTCTTAGTTTATTGTTAAGTCGTGGTGGGTACACAGGCTTGTGTGTTGTGCCCATGGCCCGGGAGGGCCATCCCACGAGAGAGAGCTAGGCAGTAGGCCTTGTGTCTTGCTGCTAGGCCGCTGTGTGAGTGAGAGTGAGGCAAGGGCAGGCAGGCTGACGTGGCAACGCCTATAGGTGGCAGCACCAGCATGGCGCGAAATATGAACTAAGCTGGCAGACAGCATAGGCTGTCTGTGCAGACAGTACAGGCTGTCTACAAAAAGGCCATACAGGATTTTGCAAGAAACCCAAAATATTTCTATTCCTACGCAAAATCCAAGCTAAGAACTACCTGTAGAATTGGACCACTACTGAGAGGAGACTCGTATACTGACGATGAACAGAAAATGAGTGAAATTCTAAAAGAACAGTATGAGTCGGTGTTCAGCAACTCACTAAATGACAGCAAGGTAGAAAATGCAGAAATATTTTTCACTCCAGAAGAAGGCTGCACAGACCAACTAACTGACATTAGTGCAAATCCCATAGATTTCGAAAAAGAAATGGAAAACATGCCCACTCAGCACCTGGACCAGATTCATGGAATGCTCTATTTATAAAGAAGTGCAAAGTACCACTAGCTTAGATCTAGAGCTTAGATCTAGGTGAAATACTGGAGGCCTTAAAGGGTGCAGACATAGCTCCTTTACACAAGGGAGGTAGTAGAGCGCTAGCTAAAAATTACAGACCAGTAGCCCTAACCTCTCACATCATAAAAATCTTCGAAAGAGTGATGAGACGGCAGGTTACAAATTTCATGGAGCAGCACAACCAACATAACCTGAACCAGCATGGTTTTACAGCAAGACAATCATGTCTGTCACAGCTGCTGAACCATTATGACAGAATTACGGAGGCACTGGAAGATGACCAAAGCGCAGATGTGATTTACACAGATTTTGCAAAAGCATTTGACAAATGCGATCATGGAGTGATGACGCACAAAATGAAGGCCATGGGCATTACGGGGAAGGTAGGCAGATGGATTTTCGGTTTCCTAACACCCAGAACACAAAAAGTAGTAGTGAACAGGGCAAGATCCAGCATCAGCGAGGTCAAAAGCTCAGTGCCCAAGGGACTGTCCTAGCGTGTCTGCTGTTCCTCATCCTCATAACAGACATAGACAAAAACACCCGGCACACTTTTGCATCATCATTTGCAGATGACATTAAAATAAGCATGAAAGTCAGTACGGTAGAGGACACTGAAAAAGTACAGGAAGACATAAACAGGGTTTTCCAGTGGGCAGTGGAAAACAACATGACGTTCAATGGTGATAAGTTCCAGCTGCTTAGGTATGGAAAGAATGAAGAACTCAAAAGGAGCACTATATACAAAACTCAAGAGGGTCACCAAATAGAACGTAAGGAACACGTAAAAGACCTGGGAATAATTATGTCAGTGGACCTTTCTTTTAAAGACCATAACAAGACAAAGATCACAACAGCCAGGAAGACGACTGGGTGGGTATTGAGAACTTTCAAAACAAGGGAAACAATGCCGATGGTGACACTCTTCAAATCGCTAGTGCTCCCTCACTTAGAATATTGCTAAGTGCTGACGGCCCCGTTCAGGGCAGGAGAAATATCGGAGCTGGAACAAATACAGAGATCGTTTATGGCTCACATTGAGCCAGTAAAGCACCTGAACTACTGGGAACGCCTGCAAGTCTTGAACATGTACTCATTGGAGCGGAGGAGAGAGAGGTATACATGATAATACAGTATATACCTGCAAGGTACTCGAGGGCTTGGTCCCAAATCTGCACACTGCCATAACATACTGGAGTGAGAGATATGGGAGGAAGTGTAAAATAAACCCAGTGAGGAGCAGGGGTGCGGTGGGGACACTAAGGGAACACTGTATCAACATCTTGGGT